TTCTATTTCTCCAGTACAATCTATATTAATTCTGAAACCAGAAGAAAATAGTAATTATTCCAGTTCAGAAGAAAATATCCAAACTGATTCAGAAGATAATAATCAATCAACTAAAAAAGAAGATAACCAAATGGTCCAAACTAATAATAATTATTTAAACAATCTGATCCAAGCTCTTGAAATACTTGCTGATCAAATAGCTAATCAAAATAACTGGTTTATGGAAAAAATTATTATTCCTATTAGAAAATACTGAGAAAATAATCAAGCTCTAACTGAATAGCTCAAAGACTTTAATATTATCATACAAGCTAATGGGATTACAGATACTAGAAAAGTATAACTAATTAAGGGATACCTAAAAGATACTGCTATACAATCTTTTACCAAACATGAGAGGAAAAAGGAAATCGAAATGAATTTTGGGATAGCATTGCAAATAGAATCAATCGAGAACACAACACTAGTTTTAATGGTTATCATTGTAAAGAAAAATTTTTGAATCTTGTTCGGAATTGTAACGTGAGTTCACACCATAATCAAGAATATGCATCTAGTTCCGCTATTAACAAAAATTTAACCACCTGATTAGGCGTTGTGTGAATATATGGCAGATAGTCATAGAGCACGAAGAAATCGAATTGGCGCACAATATTTTGACAAATTTCGTACACATTTTTGGGAAAGACCTGAAGATGAATTTGATAGAATCTGTAATATTAACACTTCAAACCATAGGCGAAATAGAGATATGGGGATATAACACCAGCACCATCTATTGAGGAAGTTGAGCGTGAATTAAGTATGAGATCCATTGTTAGACGAATAAACCGAAGTTCATCTATTACTAAAAACAATCCTGATGCTGAGCAAAATATTGGCCGTGCCAACTCTGCTGAAACAATATTTCTTCAACCACCACCTTATGAGGCCACAAATGAAACGCAAAATCAGAGTCATGACGATTCCAATAATTTATCATCTAATTATCAAATATGCTCCTGTCACGAAATGAAAGTGATGTCAGTATATGGAATCGATAAATGAGGAAGAAAGAGCTCCAGAGGAGCGACTCTTCAAGTCATAAATTTTTCTCGGCCTTTAGCTGGCTCGTGCCGATACATTAAATATTTTGACTATCTGTAGAGGCAAAGCTTCATTGTTCTGCAATAAAACATCAGAAAAAACATATATCAATAAAGTTATAATTTGTTATTTTCTTTAGTTATACTAAAGGCTTTGTTTCGTGTTAATAATTGAGTGTTAATCCGCATGCATGTGACATAGAGCCCAAGGGAGCAACCCCATGTGATCGCGGAAAATTATTTATGTTACAAAAGCAAATTTTATTTTTCAAATTATACGATATAGCAGTGTTATAAAATTGATAATCTTTCGTTGTTATCCCATCTAGAGAGAAAATATGTACGAATTGATTATAAGTTTTTTCCCATTCTTCCATAAGATCATCGGTACTTAAACCACTCTTTAATATACCACAACGGTAATAACTCTTCACCGACCAGCCTATCCCGATCTGTTAAAAATTTATGATATTTTCTGGTATCTTCATTCCTTTTTATTCCTCCGCGATAAAG